TAGTCTCGTTGACAACAGACCTTCTGGGACCGCTGAACCGAATAAGCTGAACGAGCTTGTGTAAATTGCTGAAGAGAACGATGGTCTCTATTTTTGGGGCGCGCTGAGGCTAGCAAGTCTTACGTCACTACGAAAGATTTGTTTGAGTTGCCGATTGTGAGTCTGACGCACAGAATTATGAACTGACTCTGGTGCCAAATTGCGACGGTGATCAAAAGCTTCTAGCGAACGAGCGGAGATCCAACTTTTCAAAGGGTGTTGGATGAGACCACAAAGCGATTGACCAGAGAAAAGCATCGCTTCATGCAAACAAGCCCAATATTGCTCAACATCCTAGGGTGAAATACAGGTGAGAGCGTCCGCTAGTGCAGCGTGACAGCTCAGTTGGACAAAGGGGTCGGCTAAATTGTGTGTGTCAATCTTTCGGTGCACTTTTTTCCGGGGCCTGCGAAAACGCAAGCAGATGTTCGCACGAACTAGAGCGTCATCTGAGTCAAGGTAGTTTGGCCAGAATATCTGCAGCTTTGTATACTACCTCGCTAAAGGAGGGTGATTACTATGTGGTCGATCTGGGTCCTGAACTGTGTTAACAACGGAGAGCGTCAGGTTGCGGAACGTCTCTTGTTATGCCTGAAATTGGTGCTGGAGAGAAACAGGTGGTTGTCCTCGCACAATGTGAGATACCGGCCCCATTATCTGTGCGTCTCTCGTTAAGCGTGTGCTGACATCCAAGGTGGCGTTCATATGGAAGCAAGCGACCGACCGGTGCATTAACATCATCAATGAGTATAACAACATCCATCTTGTCCACTTTGATCAGAAGAAGGTGAAGTTCGCGGTAAAAATCATCCTTGACAGAGTCGCTGTTGCAGTCAGTTGGGACTTAGGCAGAAACGACAAACAAGTTGCGTGTTTCGTTGCGATATCTGTTGATACGACATGACCCGTGAAGCCGAACTGTGCAAAGCCGACTGTTAACTGGTAACCAGTCTAGCAATGCATGTTCGGCTTTCCTACTTAACGCTATCCCAACGCCAGCCAAACCTGCTGCAGCTGCTTCTGCGTCCGTTGCTAGATGTAGTTGGTATATGATTCCGCGATCAGAAGCGGACGTCAGCCCAAGTACACTGATCGGATCCTGCAGCTGGTCTTCGGAAATGCAGCAAACGTCAATGGCGAGAGACGTCAGGGTACGCGCCAGGCCGGCCTGTTGACTAATCTGCATAAGTCTTCGTACGTTGAAGCAGGTCAATCAGAACATCGATTGAGGTTGAAGTATGGCTGTCCGTTGGGCTATTCGGGTGTCCGCAAAGCCGGGATAGGACGTAGGATCGACGGAGGTAGGATTGACAGCGAATGTAGTGTTGGCGTGGGATGGAACTTGGCGAACGACGAAAGCAGCCGGAGCGGAAGCGTGAAAGGAAGAGAAATCCACGGTTTTCTCAGCGGGCATGATACTACCTCATTGCCAAAGCCAATGTTGAGAGTTGACTAAGGGGACTCTGCCTCGAGCCTTTGGCTCCATAGACTACCCGCAATGCAACGGGGCGAAGTCAGGAGATCGCGTCTACTAATAGCCAGTGGCCGATTGCCCAGTTCATATGCCTTTTGTTCGTTGATCAGCCAAACTGGGACCCAGTCCATCTAGGGTTCAGACTCCATCAGAGAAATTACAATGCTTTGCTGAAGCAAAGGAAGGAGCTGTGCTTATTTATTAGTGAGTCACGTCCGCCACGTCACAGTGTTGTTAAATAGAAATTTATGGATTTTTATAAAGAGTACACTTGCCAGGCGAAAACTCACCACGTCCTGGAACACTGCCGCTGAACCTTGTGCTGAAACGTGACAAGACCGAACCACCCAGCTGTCACCTCGAAGACGTAGTTCGGCAAGCCTGCTGGTGTAATTGCTCAATGTCCAGGATGGGCTATTTGAAAATTTAGTATGTAAGAGAGAATGGGGTTTACGGCTGTGTTAGTTCTCCTAATATAAAATCATCATTCTCATTGTTTTTATTACCACTTAAGTACAATGGAGGTCGTTGTCAGTACCATAGCAGTGTGCATAACGAAGGAAATACATGCAAGGCCAAATAATTACAATCTGCAATTGCATAGCTGAATACCAGATCCTAGGGGGACGTGCTCCATGCTTACTTATCAGCGTGTGTGAACGAGTACAAGTGGACTAGAGGCTGTTCCCTTAAGTTCCGCTGTTTCTTCTCAAAGTGGCACAGCGTGGCCTTATTCAACACTACTTAAAGTCCAACTAGTAGTCTCGCTAAAGATTTTGTGATAGCGTTTGTGCTATTGAGGGAGATTACCTACCAACTCGCACATGTAGGTTACGTGGTACGCCATGTGCGTTGTGTGGCATGTGAGAACCGTGATCAGCCAACGTCAAATGGCATAGCTGTTATCATATTGTCACGCGCAACCCACATAGTTATCGTGCTACGAGCGCCTTAACATAAACATTCCATTCCACTCCTCTCCTCTATTTCATCCGACTTAGTATGATGTACATAATCGGTTCGATTTCCGCTCAACTGTTAAGTACAATGAGTATGGAGGAGGCAAAATGGAGCAGAGACCATTAAGTTTTCGCTTCATGAAAAATGCGCTGTACATGTAACCGTCATTGAAGCATGTGAATTTGTGCAGAATCTCGGATTACTGATAACTGTAGGCGCTGGTGCTGTGCATCTACTTGTACGGACGGTATGATACTTGTCCCCAGGAATAGGCTTAAGTTTCTCAGATCACCAGCTTTAAAGTAACTTGTCGAGTGGTTAAAACAGTGTGCTTCATTTGCGACCGCGGTCACTGTATTTCACATTTGGATTGCGAATGTGTGCTTGCTGCGACTATTATGTGCAGTTTGACTTCGGGAAAACTTTCTCGTCCTTCAGGATACGGGAGCATACGACTATGTGGCTTCGTAAGCGTATTGTTGCCTATTCACTGACGTCATCAAGATAAGTACTTACTTCCTAACTTGTAATCTGTCGCCTTTGGTCCCCTGAACATGACGAATCGCCTGAGGCATTTAACCGTATTATATAGTTTAATAAAGTCATACTACTCGCATTCCCATAGTAGCTGAAGATCCGCCTGTGATTGTTCGCCGCTTTTACTCGATGTAGTGGTCATATGCAGTGAACAAATTGCTTAGTCCTCACATAATCAGTGCGTATTAAGTTTGTGCTCCAAGCTATTTGAACAGCTATCACCAGGAAAATTAATCCGCCCGTAATGTAGGTTGAGGAATGGTAATGGGTTAAGCCTCAAGCAGTTCCCGAGCTGGGGTGTGGTTTCTCCGAGCGGTCATCCAATTTCGTAGCCCATATCATGTAAATAATTGTGGTATGCATTTTCCATCTAAAATGTTCACCCGCTTTCGCGCTGCCATTGCATAGAGACTAGAGACAAGTTAAGTATTCCAAAGGGCTTTATGAAGCTAACCATAACATGGGCGGACTTTTGTTTACCACTCTTCTTGGTTAAAAGGCATTGCGCTATTAAAGTTAAAAACTGGCTTAATAGCAGAGTTAACAGTTAACCAAGTAGAGCCTGTGTTGTACACAGGTTCATCCCAGAATAAAGACAAATTATTTGTTGATATTTTAGTTGCAGTGTACAGCTTTTGATAGAGGGCTTTTCAATTTGAACTGAGTTTACAAATCGCTTTGTGGAAAAGGTTTCCCTACGTCGTGGCTTCGCTAAAAGTCTTCTGAAACCACGAGCATAAGTAAAATTTCTGTCAGTTAATTCAAAAATGGACTTTCTAAACCACCTCGTGAGCAACACAGAATCCGTGTTTATTGCCGCCCTGAACAGAACGTGTAGGGCTGGCTGTCATAATTTCAGCAGTGCCATGGAAGTGAAAACTATCCTGCTTGAGCTTCTTTAGCGAATGATAAGCAAGGGGTATGAAGGTTAATAATCTCAAATTTATGACAATCTAAGGTATCAAAGTTGTATCCAAATTGCTGAGTTATGGTTGATGCATAATATTAACACGAGGCTTATTGTATCGAGCTTATTAACGGAGGGTAGCCGAATGATCAAAACTGTGCGTTAGATGACAAGTTGCCACCTTAACATCAACATAGCTCAGCGGATGCTACACAATGTGTGGGACACAGAGGCTTTACTTTTACCGACTGCCGGCTCATTGATCAGACACTACCCCCTAGTTGGCTGAACAGAAGACTACAAATAGGTTGATATCAAGTTTCATCATTGCGATGAGGGAAGTAGAAACTCTAAGGTAACTCGACCATTGACGGTAATTTATAAGCTGATACTTCCCATCCCGGCCTTCTGTCAAGATAAGTAACGCAACTGTTTCATAGCAGTAATATTGTCATACTGCTGCCTTTAGAGCTTTTTACCCGGAGCTCCATTCCAACGTGGAATATCAACAACGAAAACCCGCTTGACGGGTATATTCTGCGTTGCATGTCTGTCTTATTTATAAGCCCAACATACCTACTCCCAACCCCTTTATCTCGGTTTCTTCTGTTTTGACTGACTTCTGACTAGAGAGTTAGCCACAGTGTACCATGCTTAGGCGCTCGAGCCCAGACATGCCTGCCTACAGTGTTGACATGAACCGGGGTTTGTCATTTTCTTACGTCGCTGAGCTGTATATTTGGTCATATGACCGCGCCCAGTCAGCGAATTCCTTACCTGATCCGGATATCGCCATCTAATAATGTACCACGTTACGGACCTCGAGTCGCAATGCAGTGCGTTGGTGTGGATCCGGTCTGACCATCTATTAAACCTATCAGTATTACATGTTGACTATAACGTCTACGATGCTGTTGAGAAATAAGTGTATGCAAACCTAGCTATAAATCCACCTGTTCTGTTCAGAACATAACCGGATCACGTTGCTGCTGATTGCTATTCTGGAACAAATAGGTAGAACTACCGAAACCATGCCATTTGATATATCAATCTGATCACTAGATTTTTCCCTTCTACTTACAGCCGAGGAACTGTTGAACGGCGAACAGTATGCATGTACCGTGCGTGTATTATTCCTGCTAAGTCAATATCCCCGGACAACGTCTTTGTGAATAAACCTGATCCAGCTACCAATCATCTTTCGTTTCTTTTCAAATTCATTGAGTATCTTCACTGAATGTAGGTATCTTGATGCGAACACAATATATTGTCGCTTTGCAATGGGACCATGATACTTACAGTTACAAAGGAAACCAACCTACATTTGTGCTTTCAGTAAAAAGCCATACAGGCTACGGAAAAATGCACTTTGCGCTGCATACTGGCAGACTGCGTTTCCCTTCCTTAACTATGTCATGTCCACCGATGGGGGGCCAGACACTCTTAGCCATTGTTATCTGATGGTTTCCCCCAGTCCTCTTGTGAGGATTTTCCGCTTTAAAAGTGCAGCCCATGGTACACTTTTCGTTTGTCAAAATTTCAAGACTATCTTTGTCGGAAGATAGTTGACTAGCGCTCTATTAACATTACTTCAAACAAAACGCGGTCGATGAGTGCAAGCGTCAAAGCGCTTGGAAAGCGCACAGGAAATTCTACAGGCCTAATGTCGGGATCGCGGCTAATGTGCTATTTAATGCAAATCGAAAATTAAATAAACCGTATCTTAATGAGTCCCAAACACCAAATACGCAAACAATCCTTGACTTAAAAGGGCGAAGCTCGCTATGGAACCTAAGTGGGCAGTCCAGAGAAACAGGAATTAAACGGTAGAGGAACCAAAAGGAGGGCGCATAAACCGAATATTCATAAAGGCTTTGTAGCGCGTCAATATAAGTCAGTCACTTGGAAAAGAGAGGATCGATAGGGTCGCTTATCAGTGGGTGGAAAACAAGGGTAGGAAACAAGGTGAGTACTCATAAGTCACAGCGTTAGCACGAAGTGATTGGGAGTGTGGTCCTGGACAGATTATTGTACGCATGTAACCCTGAAGGAGCGGGCTGTACAGGAGTGGAACGCCGCAAGCTCGATAATAAGAGGGTGATAGGAGTTGGCTCCTGAAGGTATCTTTGCTAACAAAGGTCTTAGGAGGAACAGGATTGTGTGCTCCTTATAGGGACAGAGACTGCGATACGATCAGATAAGCGAAATGCACGTTACAGCTGAGTAAAGATAGCTAGTGAAAGCCGCCTTGCTATTGGTGTAACTAACTTGTACGCACAACACATCTCTCGAAGAGAAGGACGAGCTAACCCAACAGCACAGAGGATGAACTCTATATCATAGCACTTACATCTGATCAGCACAGATCTCTTCTCCAAGATAGATCACTGCCCACTTCCACTGCCCCTTGGAGGCCAAGTAGCCGTCGATCATCGCCAATCATATGCTTCAATCAGTGTGGGAAAATCCTCATCCATCATCGCAAATTTAACTAGAAATTGCTGTTACAGGCCACCTGCTGGTAACGTAAAACTTCCCATATATACTATTAATTTGTTGTCTGAAACTTGTAAGTTTATTGGTGTTAGCTTACTATGGTATTATGGCTAACACATGGCTTAATTGCTCCATAATAGGTGAGTATAGGCCAACTAACAATTGCACCGTGAAGATTGTACTTGTCGACCGCTGAGTCCAACTTGAATCTGACGTCTCGGTATCGAACTTGATGCCCAACACTTAGATCCACTTCAGAATACAACAGCCAAGTAGAACGAAATAGCAGTGAGCTGGAGTTAGTCAACTTGATAACTGTAGTGCTCAACTGAGTGAAGGACCAAACTCTGATGACTGCGGTGACTCCTACCCGGATAAGAGGGGTTGCTACTATTGATGAGTTCGTAGCGTACGCTTGATTCATCAGTCCCCTGTTGAACATCCAGTACTACTTAAGGACTGAAAATACCAGTGTCCCTCGTTGCTACTTAGAGGACAACGACATCGTCTTTCGTAACATCGACAGATATAAATAAGGAGCATTAAGTGTTACAACACTACCGTGGTATTTAGGATGCATGCTGTCTTCTAACAAAAATAGGTCATAAACTACAGAAAAATAGAGAACACCAGACAATATCATAATTCCTTGATGGTCTTATGCTCCAATGTGCCTGAAGTTGAGGCAGTCTTGAAGAAATACAATTTATCAGGCAACAGGAGACAGTGGGACAACCTGTACCAACTAATCAGGGTATAAGCTAGTTGGATGCACCTGGTTTCTCATCCAAGCGGTGCACTACGGTAAACCAAGCCTATTCCAAGTAATCTTTTAGTTACTGATCTTCGAACTATCCCGTGCACTAGTCGAAATTTCCCAGAAATGCTAGAGTGCGAATGTTAGAAACACAAGCCAAGCTCGGATGACTATCACAAATGAAAGGACTTACAATTCATCCTTGTTCATGGTGTCCCCGATCTTCAGAATTGAAGAAAGATAGTGGCTTAAGCTCATGCCTGTGATGGATATTGCTTCTGGATAACGTAATCGTTAATCCAACCTCAAGGTTGAAACTATCGCTTAACCACAAAAGGTATAGTCCCCATGCGATGAAGGTTATACTAACATCCAAAGCAGTGGCAGATAATGCATTTTTAAACATGGTCGAATACGTGCAAGACATGTCACTTGTAGTGTGTTTTAAGGCGATGAATCCTGGCCATAAACAGACGTGTAAAGACCAAGCAAACGGCCTCCATGTGCGATTCCGTTAGCATGTGGTTCCGAAGCGGGGAGTTGTCAAAATCCTCCGAGAGCTGAAGGAAGTCTAGGTTATCATCCACCTGCCAACACTGAGCACTTCATGTCATCGTGAAATGGCTCCGAAGACGGCTTCAGCTGTTCACCAAAGTAATCGACTAGCATCTAACCTTGAAATGATCAACATAAACTTACACCTGATACTTGTATCTATAACCGCCCTTCTAACTGCCGTGACCCTCGCTTGCAAACCATCACACAAGGTCTTTTGAATATGCTAGGTGAGCTTCGTAGTTCTCAGGTCTCAATGGTTTGGGACTTCGTTATGGTAACCGTACAGGGCCGACTACTGAGACCAATGATGCTGAGATAGCTCTGACCGGCAAGATTCTCCAACAAAACGATCAGTGCAGCAGAGGATGCAGGGTAAAGTTGTACTACTGATCTGACCTGCATATCGATATTAACAACGATCCAGAGACGCGGATTGTCAATTCGCTTTGCTACCGCCTGCATCAAGAACGTGGTGATGTGTGTTTACAGCCAATAGTTTACTGCATCATAATGTCCAACATGGTAATAGAACACTACCTAGCCTCCGCTGCGAAGCCAATCCTGGTACGGTGCTACAACCACATCCTCCTTGTGAGGAAATTCAAGTTGCACGCAGGAAAACTTCTAGCTTCGCCCAGCGAACAATTTAGGGCGAACTGGCAGGAAGTAATTGCGTTTTACCGTTATACAACCACGTCACATCTGCCGCGCGATTCAGGATGGGTGACGAAAGATCGGTTTGCGACCTCGTGTTTAATGGCGAGTAACTTGAACTCCAGCATATAACGATAGGTTTGCACATGTCCGTAGTGATCATTCGAGACAAATATTCTAATGAGTATTAAGGATTTAAGTGTGGTTTTAGATGTAGTTCATCGCGGTCCACTCACGATCGCCAATGGCTTAGTGGCACTAATTTCTGGCGTCCGGAATTTATAGGGTTTATAGGGTTGGAACCCGGCAGGAGTCCGAGTAACAACATCATCATCACCAATAAACGTCAACTGAGGGTGGGAAAAACACTTCAGATAATGTGCCGCAATACGAAAAGATAAGCTACTAAAAAGTACACTACACAAAGAAAATAATGAATGTTACATATTCTATTTTGCATTTCGTATGGGATCGGAATTGGAGGGGAAACATAGAGGTGAGGAAATGGACAAAGAGACAAACAACAAATCCCATATTAAAAAGTACGTCCAATCAAACGTGTTCATCGTCCTTGCCACTGTAGGTCAAGTAGACGTCTCAGATTAGAATTACAAATTGCTGACAATTCTTACAAAATTTCCGTTGTTATGTAAAACTTGTGCACATGTTCAAGAAACTTCTTGGCAACTCCTTCAACTTGTCTTTGTAGTATGAAACGTAAAGTCAAAGCTGTACATTGCTGCATATGCGGCCTCAGCGAACAGATGGGCTTCATCAGTTTAGTTTCGTTGGCTAAAGGTCGAAACTCAATCTTCCGATTGATTGTCGTAAGCCACCGCGGGCACTGCGCTTGACTGGTGTCTGGACAAAAGTGTGTGTGTAGCCAAACGGGCCATGAATTGTCTGCGTATATATTTTACAGCCGTGTCCTTTTACATGTCCCCTCTTTATGACATTATTGACGACGCATTAGTCAGACGCACTATGGCTTCTTCCAGAGAAAACAAATGACTATTGAGGGATCTGGTTATTGGAACTATTATATTGTGTGTCTGAATTGATTGGGGGGACAATTGAAGTACTTGTTGTGTGAAACGATTGCGAAACTAAATCTAAGTGTGGACCGTGAATCTCATGGAAGTGAAGGTTGGACAATTCGAGCACTAGGACCGCAGCCGAAGATGTTTGGTGGCATCCAGGTTCGGATTTGCCTGTCAATGTGGCCAGCCACAGGACGCCTGCGCCTACAGAGGGACCATGGGTGGCTTGCGCTGCACCACCCACAGCTCCAACCACACACCCCATATCCAGTGTAAAACCGAAGGAATAAGACCGGGGGGCATGTGAATGGGGGCCACGTTTCATCAACGGAGCCGGCCCACACTACTTCATAGGCAAACAAAAGCACACTGTATTTGGGAATCAAGCGCAAACAAGGCGGTGGCTGGACCATAGTCCGCTCCACACTGAGTGCATGGAACCGCTCTTTGAGCCTAGCACGGCCACAAGAACCGTGCACCCCGTCCCCTCCAGCAACGACCAACTGCCTCCTGGAGCCAGTGTGAACGATGTAGTGGGTACTAGACAGGTAGGCACCTTGTCAACATACACATCAAGCGCAACCACACCGGGGATATCAAACAACAGCCATTCACTTTAAACGACAAGCTGAAATAAAATAAATCCAGTAATGCATACAGATAAGGTGGCATAACTATTCGCTAAACTAGCATATGAAGTAAGTTGGTTAGCAATGAATCCGCGATAAGGAAAAAATGTCCACAAGTTACTCAAAAATGCTACAAACGTATCAAAATTACCGAAGATAAGCGCAATTAGCGTAAGC